CAATGGTGGAGCAGCTGACACCAGCTGCCTGCACCAGGGCATGGTACAGCCCAGGAGCAGGGGGACAGGTGGCGCAGTGCAGCCCAGTGACTGCAGGCAGCTGGTGCCAGCGGCTCCTGGGGCTACTGCAGCTGAGGCTGGGGTGAGTGGGGCCACAGCCCTTTCCCCTGCCCCCACAAACTTACCTGCTTTGGCAGGGGTGGGCATCTATGCTGATAGCATAAAAAAGAGTGAATTTACCACATACAACAAATTATGGGTCCAAAAATGCTCATCGCACAAGAGCAAATTTGTATAAAGAACCCACATAAACCAAGGGAAACCTGTATGTTGAAAAAGTAGGAAAGACCTCATGGGGAAAACGGCTACCACAATTACACGGTATCCTTGTTACAGAAATCATAGTTAGGGTGTCACAGAATCAATATTTCAATAAAATGGAGTTCTTGGGGAAAATCTTCAGTAGCCAAAGTTGCTTTAAAAGCTTGTAAGTATTGTAAAAATAAACACATAAAACTGTGAACTGTGTTTAGATTTGTAATGTTTTATTTAAATAGAAGTAACACTAAGAGAGGGGTATACCAATTACCAAACACCCTTGCTTAAAATTGGTGTCTTGTTTCTAGTTTACCTTCAAGTTCCCCACCATTAGATCACATCATCCCCTTTTCTGCTAGGTCAAAGGACCTCCCCATATACAATGTATAGATTGTTATAATCAGAATCATGTACACATTTTCTCCTGTAAGAAGTCCAATACATTTAGTTTTTCCACCTCTTGCTGTAAGCCAGACCTTAAATAACATTTTTTTCTAGTTTTTTTCCCAATTTTTCATCCACTTTTTTCAAGGTGGACACTTCAGCTATCACACGTAGAATACCCTAATCTATATGTCTATTCAAGGATTGTTTGTTCTTAGATTTAGCCTTGCATTAGTTCATGGTCAGTTTATTACCTACTATAGCATTTCTCAATCTTTTCCAGCCCAAGGCACACTTACATTAATAACATTTTTCTGCTGCACACCTGTTAAGGCATTCCCCATCCTCATACCTATTGTAGCTCATTGCCATGGCATAATTCTGCAGCACACCTGTTTATTTCTGATGGCTCACTTTTGTGCCACAGCACACTGGTTGGAAAACACTGACCTACTATGAGCTCTTCATCTTCTGTTACAGCATGCCTGTAGCCAAACATAAATCAAAAGAACCCATTTTACCAAGCTATTCACACCAGTCTTTAATATATTCCCATCATTAATTATGCTACCAACTTTTGTTGGATCTTCAAATTTTACCATCAATGACTTACCTCTGTGGGCTGGATCTGGCCTGCAAGCTGTAGGTTGAGCACCACCAAGCTCTCTCAAAGGCCTTGCAGAGGTTTTAACAGTTTATTTCAGCACTTACCTTCATCAATCAAACCATGTCATTTCAAAAAGCTATCAAGTCTGACAATGTATTTTTCACAAAACCATGGCGATTTTCATACAGCCTTCCTCTAACTCTACCTGCAATATGTAACCAGTGATTAAGAGGTGAGGAATAACTGAGTGCATCTAGCTAACAGTACTTAACTTGCATCATGCTATGAATAGAGGAGGAAATAGGGCCCAGTTCCTTCATGAAGCTGAACTAACACCCCAGTTAAGAAGCAAACCTGAATTAGGATTGGTTGAGCAACCCAGGTTTTTCATTATCCTCTTCACTCAAGGCATCACTGTTCAACATTTATCCGATGCGCTCATTCATAAAATGGAAGGCTACATTCAGCTACTCTTAAAACACACATTTTGTAGTACATCAATGGGCTTTACACTGCAGTTCTGAATTTGGGGGGGGAACAACCAAGCTAGTTTGGCTTTCACCAAGTCAGTCGCACATTACTGATGCATAATGGGATTGAATGGCCATATGCAGAAGATGAGGATATGTAAACTTACTACACTACATAACTCAAGCCCTGAAAACAACTACAGCAAAGAGAGATGTTTATTTTATCTAAATTTCACTTTAGGTAAATGCCCAGAAGATTTACTGTACTCCAGAAGTACATCAGAGACAGCTGTTAAACTGTCCTATGGATGTGAAGTCACACACCGCCTGAAATCATGTTTCAGTTTAGCTACATAGTAATCCTTTGCATCCCACACACTACAACCATTTGGATAGGGCCAAGTGTGCAAAGTAGGAGGAATGGGGGAAACTAGTTCCCCCTAGAAGCCAATATCTTGATAGTAACACACTTGAGACAGTTTTGGGATGATATTGGTTGGCCTATAAATGACTATTTTATACTGTTTGGGTACACAAGCTCAATACCTTGCCAAAGAATGAACAATGCTGTATGCAAATTATGAAAAAGCAAACTTTATTTACATCTTTAAGAAATTAAAAAGCCAAAAGAAAAAATAAGGACAACAGTTAGACATTTTTTTTTATTTCTTAGAAGCAAGGGGATTCAGCAAATTTTGACCATGTAAAATTATATAAAAATATAGCCTTTGACTCCCTGCAGTACGGAGAGAGACATACCAGTGACACTAACTGATCCATGGCTTGCCCCACAGACAGACAAATTGAGGTGCTTACACTATTAAGTACAAGTTTGCAACAGCTTAGTTATTTTAAAGTAGTTTGTAGTCATAATTTTAGCACTAGTGTGTGCAAAATTGAATCCTTTCATGTTTTTAACTTGCAGCAGAAACAAAAAATTGAAAGGAGAGCTAATCCTTTAGCACTGCATTTAAGGACAATGCTGTTGTAAAAATGTACAATAGTACATACTTTTATAGCAAAATAGTATCTGAACAGATTCAGTTTTCCTTTTATTAAAACATAGATAGCTTTATAAAAAATGTAAACCTTCCAAAGGTTATCATGTTTGAAAAGCTTAAAAGAGGCTTTACTTGTTTTAAAGAATACAGTCAATACTAGATCTCTGAGAACTTGCTTTAAGATGTTTTATTTTACCTGGTCAGTTTCAGCCTTAGAAGGAAACCCTGAAACAAAAGTAACACATCATGCACCCTTAACAGGTAGTGACACATCAACTGAAGATACTTCCTCTGATTGGGATACTCTCATTCAGTCCATGTTCTATTAGTTTTATATCCTCCAAATCATCTTTTATAATGCTGATCAAATGACTCAGGCCTTCTTGTTGCTGCTTTAAATGCTAAAAATAGTTTTAAAAAAGGAAAGAAGAAAGAAACTAAACAAACATGAAGAAAAAAATGTTCCTTAACTTTATTTTAGAAACTTTCCAAATAGGATAAAAGTTACTGTAACATAAACCTACTGTTTGAAGTACATTACTTTAAGACATCTGGATTAGCATTTAACAAAAATCACAGAACATTTCAATTTGCCATAGCGAATTTACATTGGCATCACAGGATAATTACTTTGCAATCCTGAGTACTATTCTTCATACCATGAACTTATTCAAAGGAAAGCCAGCAACAGCAACAAATGAACAAGCTCATTTGAACCAGGTTTAGTCCCCTTAAAGTTTCAACACGCTGCTTTTTCTATGCTGTTACTTATAAGCTCACCTCAGAGAGCTAGTACCCTCCAGCACTCAAAGTATTCTATGATTTTGCTTGCAACTCTCCATGACAACTACTTACTTGCTTGATTTCCCGTAAGAGGTCTGCATCTATGTAGTATTTCTCTTCAGCCCTCACAGCTCCAAAATGATTTTGCATCCTGATCTGGGACATTAACTCATTTAATCGACCCTATGAATAGACACAAGACAAAGGTAACGAGAGAGAAAAATATAGTTTCTTTTTGCCATCAGTGGTCCTTTAGATATAAAATCCTTAAGGAAAAAAAGAAGCAGTTTTTGGCCCAGCTTCCCCATTCAAAGAAAGCACAGGGAATGCAATTTAGAGCAAAAACTAATAAGGACTATCTAAAGCTGTTTATAAAAACTACTTCAATACTACCTTTATAAGGGCTAAGAGAAGACATAGAAATCAACACAACAGATCTCACTAATCTTTTCCTGAGAAAGCACAAGCTCTCTCTACAGCAGGGGTGGGCAATTATTTGGGCCGGAGGGCCTCTTAGCATAGGCAGAAGGAGAAAAGTCTTATTTGGGCTGAGCAAAACTTAAAAGATACTTCTACACAGACACACATCACCCAGCAAATAAGTGTATAGAGGGGGAAGGGGGCAGGGAGGGAAGGAGTGTGGGGGGAGGGCAAATTGAGGCCCCCATGGTAAGGGAGGGAGTGGAGCAGGAAACTGGCTAAATGGGGCCCCGGGGCAGGTTGTGGGAGAGTCGGAGCCCGGGCAGTTCATCCACAGGCATGGCAGGAACCCACCAGTGTGCACCTCTGGGACACGATTGGGGGGGGGGGGGGGGGG